GTGTGTTTTCCTTCCCTCTAATACCGTGACGATTTGGAGGTGTGTCGTGCATCGCTGAACATGCGCATACTCCTCAAACTCTCGGCTTCCTTCTGCAGGCGTTCTTCAGACTGCCGTGTGCATTTATGTGTTAAGCGACTAAATGGCACTCTGGAGTGGAGTGGAGTGGTGGTGGTGGTGGGGGAGGGGGAGGATTAGAAGAGGGAATTGCACTGGATGCTTGGCTTCACCCTTCGCCTTGGGATGTTTAGCAGAGTGTTGCCAACGCGTCACGAGGAGTATATGAGGCACAGCAAAGGGTAAGAGATGGGAGAAAAGACGAAATATTGTCGTAGAGGAGAGGCGAGAGGTACACCTACCCTCTCCAGGGTTGCACGTGGCGGGGGTGGTTCGCTTTTTTGTGTTATAGTGTGAGAGTCGACAACGCGGTAGCGAACCATCGTTAAGGAAATGTAACCACGCCCCGACGTTCGCATTGACTGAGAGAAGACAAATGACTTCTACGCTGTTAGGGAGCCTTCAATCCTTGAAGCCAGCCCGGCGATTGTTATGAAAGACTCCCTCTGGTGCCACAGAAACGAGTTGCTTTCTTCGAGAGGAAGGATAGGAGAAAGCTCTCAACGTAGTTGTTGTTCTTGTTGTTGTTCCTGTTTTCAAATAGCTGGGGGGAGAAGAGAAGTATATATTCCACAATATTTATAATCACAAGGCAAGGAAGTGCAACACAATAACGAGCGCCAACATCACGAATGACCTTCAGCATTCCGCCGCTTCCGTGGGGCTATGACGGTCTTGCCGCCAAGGGCATATCGAAGGAGCAGGTGAGGTTCCACTACGACAAGCACCACCAGGGCTACGTGACGAAGCTGAACGCTGCAGCACGTACACACCCCGCCCTCGCCAGGAAGACGATTGAACAGATTATCAAGACAGAGAAGGGCCCTGTCTTCAACCTCGCTGCACAGATCTTCAACCACACCTTCTACTGGGAAAGCATGTGCCCCAACGGCGGTGGCGAGCCGAAGGGCAAACTCGCAGAGGAGATTAACGCTTCGTTCGGAAGCTTCGCCAAGTTCAAGGAGGAGTTCACCAATGCAGCGGTGGGGCACTTTGGTTCCGGCTGGGCGTGGCTCGTCAAGGACACCGCGTCGGGCAAGCTAAAGGTTTACCAGACACACGACGCCGGCTGCCCGCTGACGGAGAGCCACCTGAAGCCGATCATCGCATGTGATGTCTGGGAGCACGCGTACTACATTGACTACAAGAACGATCGTGCGGCGTACGTGCATATATTCTGGAATGTCGTCAACTGGAAGCAGGCGGAGTACAATCTCAGGAAGAGTGAGACCCCGAACTGGCGTAGTGACCTCTGATTTGACCTGGGTGCACTTTTGTCTAATGCCTGCATGTGTTTCCATTGGAGTTGCGCAGTTTTATATGTACGTGGGCTGTTGGCGCTGGGACCTTCTTGGGCCGCATCGGTTTCCTTTCGTGTGTCCATGAGATCAATGAAACAGGTCTGGAGGGGATTTCTGTGGATCATACTTGTTTTATCATTATTACTATCATTATCTTTATCACGTCTTATTTATGTTGTGAATAGCAACGCTGTGTTGTGCGTGATATTCTTCCTCAGCTTGTGTGGCAGCTTCCAAACTGAGACAATTATAAATTGCTTTATTGTCCCCGACGCATATGCTTTCTTATCTTCCTCTATTTCACATGCACTCTCTCTTTCTTACACACACACACACACACACACACACGCTGCGTGTGTATGTGTTTTTACGTACTTGAAGTTTCAGATTCATCCGCACGGCAATTGCGGTGTATTGTCCGTCTGGGGCGGCGACGCAAACAAAAGAAACGAGGAAGCTCACATCATTCAACGCAAAGCGTAGCACAGAGCCACACAAAGTTTCGACTTGGGGGAGAAGATACAGGGGTGGGGCCAAAGAAAAAAAAAGAGTAAAGGAGAGAGTACACCCTCCTTCTATTGATTTTTTTTTTCTGCTTGCATAAGTAAATCATCGAGGTACTCTGTTCGGTCCCCTAGTCGACATTCTCGTCCCCTCCCCCACCAGCGGAAGTGGAGAAACGGTGACGCGAAGAAATATTGTGCGGGTGGCGTATTCACTGCGCCACGCTTCTCTGCTTGACACCCACATCTACACTTGCACAACCACAAACAGGCACATACACGGAGATTCTCTTCCTTCTCGCGGTCCAACTGAACGGTAAGAAGAGGAGAAAAATAGAGGGATCCGCGGAGCTGTTGGCTAAGCAATAATGGGAAACGGCGTCTCGCGGGAAAAATATGGTGGGCGCCTCCTCCCGCCGTCAGCCAGTGCGCATAGGCCAGCTGCTGGCAGTGAGTGCGTCGACAGAGGGCCGGCTTGTGGCAACAGCAAGAAGAATAATACAAGTGACAATGACGGCTTTGATGATCAGCGTCCTATTCCACTCCACGAGGGGGATGGAAAGGCCGCCCCGTGGAACTCCGCTACAGTGTCGCTGGATAACGTGCTTGGGCCACCTGATAGCACCACATCGCTGTATAGAAAGAAGGAAGCAATTGGCAAAGGAGCTTTTGGCGAAGCGTACATTGTCGAGCGCAATGCTTCCCATCCGTTGCCGCCGAGACATCATTTGACAGAGGAACGTGGGTTGCCAGAGGCGAGAAGGCGTCTTGGCGATGAGGGGCCTCGTCAGTTCGTCGCCAAGGTGATGAACTTGACTTCAATGTCACAAAATGATCGTCGCTATGCACAAACCGAGATCATGTGTCTGGCTTGCAATCATCATTTTGCGATTATTCAGTACTATGAGCACTTTTTCATTGATGACGAGGATCAAACCATTGTCATTATCACGGAGTTTGCGGATCAAGGTGATTTGTACCGTAACCTCTACAAACATAATGTGGAGCGTTATTTGTCGGAGAGGGAGGTTGGAATGTTTTTTGTGCAGCTTCTGTTAGGATTGGATCACATTCACAGCCGTCGGATGATTCATCGCGATATTAAGACGGCGAACATTTTCTTAACGTCCCGCGGCTTCTTGAAGCTGGGTGATTTCGGATTCTCCCAGCAGTACGACAGCACTGTGTCTAACCCGATTGCTTGCACCTTCCTTGGCACCAGCTATTATCTGGCTCCAGAGATGTGGAAAGGACAACGGTACGGTAAAAAGGCTGATATTTGGGCGGCAGGTGTTGTCCTGTGCGAGCTGCTGGGAAAACGGCGACCATTCGAAGCCGATTCGCTCTCTAGAATGAAGGAGGTTGTTCTCTCTGGTTCAATGTGGCTCCCCGCCGTTCACCCTGATGACAATGCCTCCCTGCAGAGTGACCGTATTCCGGACGAAAAGACATGTTATATTTCTAGAGAGATGCGTGAGTTCCTCCAGCAGATATTGCAGCAGAATCCAGAGAAGCGACCAAGCGCCGCCCAACTTCTCAAGACGCCACTGATGCAGCACTATTTGTGCGTTTTCCAGAAGCATGTGAATCGCATGATTGCAATGGATGACGCGTTGGAGGAAGAATACAAGTCGTCTCCTGACAATTTCGTGGGATCTCTGCCCAACTATCTCCTTTCTGCAGAGGAGAGGGCACTTGTGTTGAAGGGGATAGCTGAGGGGGAGGAGGTTATCAACTTAGAGACGGAGCGTGAAATTGCAACGAGCACTTCCCCGCGAATGGAGAGCGTCGTCTATAAGGAGTCGGGTGGTGGGCAGTGGAAGGAGCGGTACCTCATTCTCGCCGACGGCTTTCTGACCATGACTCTCACAAAGGGAAAGGTGGCGGCGGGCACCGGGGAGCGCAGTAAGAAGGTGCCACTTGAAACTATCAAATCGGTTGTGCCGATGATACTGGATACCCCGGTAACGGCGGAGATCACCGGGCAGTCGGGGACGACTCAGCTGCGCTGCGCCTTCGCAATCTCCACACAGAGCTCGCAGTCCATAATGTTCGCAACTGCAACTGAAGAGGAGCGTGACCAGTGGCTTTCTGCGTTGATTGTGGCACTCAAGATGGACTGAAGAAGACGTGTTGCACAGCAGATCCTTTCTACTTCGGTTCTCTCACCCCTTCTTTTTTTTTTTTT